AGCCCCTGCCTGTGAACGATGGCATCAGGAGACGGCAGGCAATGAAAACGAAAAAAAACTTCGAACAAACAGAAAACACAGAACAGGGGTAACATGAACAAAAATGTAAACATACAAGCACAGACGCGCAGCTATACACATGGATATACATGTATCTACATACATATATATATATATATACCAGTCAAGGAGGAAAGGCAGGATGAAATGCATGTCTCTTGTACACGTACGCGTGCGAGGCTGATGGGAGAAAGCCTGATGAGAAAGGCCGATGGGGAGGAAAAACTGATGGGAAAGGCTGATGGGGGTTGTAAAATTGAATAAAATACGTAAATCCCGTAAGAAAACAAAACAAAAACAAGACAAAAAAAAAGGACAAAATGACATATTTGTTACCTGGCGCCGGCGCTCTTCTTCGCCGCGGCCGCCTCGCTCGGCGACGGCGCCGTCTGGGGTGTCACGCCTGCTCCGCCTGCTCCGCCTGCTCCGCCTCCTCGTGGGAGTACCCCGCCGGGGAGAGGTGGTGCAGCGAGGCCCAGACGGCAAAGTCGGTAAAGTACATTGCGCCGCCCTCCTTGCACCGTCCGTTGATCCCCCTAAACTCCGCCGCCGGGTCCCCGATGCGGCAGCCCCAGCGTTGCAGCAGCGGCGCGGCGGCCACAAACGCCTCCAACGACACCGACTTCTTCATCGGGTCCTTGTTGTGCTTGCAGAGGGCGTCAAACATGTAGTACTGCTCAAAGTACGCGTACACGTACCACAGGAACGCGCGGAACTCCGTCGCCGTGATGAACTGCTCCTCGCCGTCGACGAGGTAGATGGCGTTCCGCTGCTGCGACGTCACCTCCTTCGTGGCAAAAAAGGCGCGAAAGATAATCGGCTGCAGGTCCTCGCGGAACTCCTGCAGGGCGAGCTGGTCCACCATGCCGCGGTACAGGTCGCACAAGGTTAGCAGCCGCGACCCCCGCACGTCCATCCGCGCAAACAGCTGCTGCCGCTTCAGCCGCTCCTCCTTTGACTCCCCGCTGGGGAGCCGTTGGCGCAGGCGCTCCCACAGCGAGCCCGACCCAGGCGCCCCCGCAGCCTTTTCGCAAAAACGCCTCAGCGCGTGGACGACGGTCGAACGCGCCACAGTCAGGGCCACAAGGGCCGTGGTGCAGTGCGCCCCTCCGCAGTCCAGGACCTCCTGCAAAAGTGTCTCCTCATCCACCTCTCTGCCGCGCAGCAACGTCTGCAGGGCGGAGCGCATCGCACCGTCTGTCCACGACACCTGCCGCGCCGCGCATGAGCCTTGGGTCTCGGTGGACTTCGCTGCTGCTGCATCGCCCTCGGCCCCCTCCTTCTCCATCGCACACGCGCCGTCGAGGAGGACGTCCAGGTAGGCGCGCACAAAAAGCAGCAGAAAACGGAGGTCGGTGTGGTGGATTGCGGCGTCCTGCAGGTCCCCACGCTGCAAGGCGTCGTTGGTTTTCCGCACGCAAAACGACACAAAGCTGCTTCCTAGCTCCGGCGGCCAAACGCGCCAGAGCTCGTAGGAGGTGGAGCACAGCTCCATGAGGGCACTGAGGGGGATGTAGCCGTCGTCCGCGCGGATTCCACTGGTCGTCTGCCGACGTTTGCTTCTGTCGCTCGCGGTATCCCCGACCGGGAGCCTCTCGCGCAGCCGGTGTTGCCAAATGCGCAGCCGGGCCTCAGTCGCCCCCCGGAGCGACTCGCGTCTGGCAAACCACACCGCCACCTCCTGCAGAGGGACAACCTCCCCGTGGGGGCCCGCAAGCGGGTTGAAGACGGCCATCACCGCCCCATCCATGGCGGCGCCGGTCTCGCGCCGCACCCACGCCCCCAGCTCCTCCCACGTCAGGGGCGCCGCATCGCTAATGTGGCCAATGTGCGGCACCCCAAACGAAATCAATACATGCATGTAGCCCAAGATGTACCGCATAAATGCGGGGAGGTACTCTGGGGTTAAACTGCGGCCACTGGGATCCCCCACGGCGGACAAGGCCTTGGGGCACAAGGCCTGAAAGTCCTCCTTTGGCATGATGAGCAGCACATCCGAGGCGTACTTCTTGTAGAGGCTCTCACTGAAGGGCGAATGCGCCCCAGCACGCTTTCCCTCCCGTTGCATCAGGGTATTTAAAAAAGCCTCCAGCCGCGTGTCCTCGTCGCTCACCGGCCATGCTGCGTGTAGACGCCGCCACGCCTCTTGCCTCCACTCTCGCATTCTATTATTCACATACTGCGAGGTAATGAGCTGCAGCAAGGACGAGGCAGTGTCACACGCCTCTGTCACTGTATCAATATCACTGTGGTTAGTACTTTTTTCACATGCTTTCGCCGCCGCCTCACCGAGGCCCTGGATCTCCAGCAACGCAGCCGCCTCACGCAGGAGGACCGAACGCGCCTGCGTCGGCACCGCAGTCTCAAGCGCCCAGGTGGGCGTGCTGGAGCGCCTAGAACCGTCGGCAGCGTTCGGCATAAGCGCCTTCTCCAGCGCGCCCGCAGCGACGATGGCACCGTACACACCGTGCAATAAACGCTTTAAGTGAACGTCTGCGAGGACGCGGTTCAACTCGGTGTCATGGCCGTCCACCGTTTTTGCCTTCCCCCCTGCTGCGGCTGCGCTTTCACGCCCCCACCGTTCACATTCCTTCACCCAAATACTGCGTGCACAGCTGCCGGCGCTCCCCGCCGCGTGGCAGTAAAGTGAAAAATCCACCTTTGCCTTCAAAGCGTTAAACATCGCGTCCGCGTCGTTGGCGGCCCAGCCGTGGGCGACAAGCAGCGAGAAGATAGACGCCCGCTCGCCCTCGTCGCAGAGCCCAAGGGCGTAATACAGTTCAGAAATGTCTCTTAACTCTCGCTTGCCTGTTCCCCGCAGCAGCAGCGCTGTCCATGGGTCGGCAATTTCCAGGAACGGAACCTGGCGCGAGCCCGCGTCTCTGCCAAAGAACGAATACACAAACTGGGCGACGCGGCCGTCGTGGGCGGCATCACCGCCCACGGCCTTTAGCACCTGCGCTAGGGTGGCCCTGTTTAAGGCCGGGGCCGGGGCCCCGTAGCGGGGGTCGGTGCCGGTGGTTGCGCCCTCATGTTGCATCGTCTCGCGGTAGAGCTCCAGCGCCGCGAGGTACGCCCGTAGGAATTGGGCAAACGGTGGCACGCTGTTGACGCTTGCGGTGCCGTCTCCAAAATCCCTCGCTACCACATGGAATGCCACCCGCACCAGCGCGTCATGCACAGACTGGTCCTCAAACATCTCCCCCATTGAAAAGTGCTCGTGCATTCCCGTTGTGGCGTCCGCCTCCGAGAGTCGCCTCGTTCCATGGGTGAGGGCCAGAAACAAGGCCTCCAGCTGCGGGGGGTCCCCCAAGGCACGGCGCAGGGATAACTTATGGCTCGCAAACGCGTCACCCCAGTCTCGCTTTGGCGTCTGTACTGGCACTGGCTCCTCCTGCGGGCAGGCGGCAGTCTCCACCCCCGCCGCCGCAGATTCCGCCTCCACGGGCGGCGCTGGGGCGGGAGGGGCAGTGCACTCACCACACAGCGAGACCACGTGCCGCAGCACCAGCCAACGCACCAGCGCCACCAGTGGAATGACCCGCGGCGACGCGGCGGGCACCCCCGCGTCGAGGCTCAAGGGGTCAAGGGACCACCGTGAGGCCTCCTCCACCACCGCGCTCGCCGAGAGCGACGCGGGAGCCTGAAAGGCCGCACCGGGACCCTTATCCGAAGCGAAGGCCAATGCAAACTCGGTCTTCAAGGAACCTAGACACTTTGTGAGGCGCTCGGCAGTGATGCTGGCCTTCTCCCAGGTTCCCTTCGACAGCAACTTGGCCTTCTCAAAGACGCCCATCACATTGTAGAACTCGCACATGCAGAGCAACCAGGGGCGGTAGTCGCAACGCCGCAGGACGACAGGAGAGTCGCTGGCATGTGGGTTGTTGAAGCGAAAAATGTCATCCGCAGCGTCCAGCAAGAGTTGGTCGTTGTACGCGTGGACCGAGGACAGCTGCCACCGCTCGCGGTCAAATTGTTGGAGCTGCTCCACCGTCACACACTGCCCTCCGGCGGCGTCCCCGTCGCAGCCTCCATGCATGCCCAATATTTTCACAAACTCAATGCTTCGCCTCGACGCGGCGGCGGCCTCGTCGGTGTGTGTCGGCGCCACACTGACGCGTCGGAGCATCTCCAGGTACACCTGGCCGCATATAGCCTCCTTCGAACCACAGCCCCCCATGCTGGGCAGCCGCACACGTGTGGAGTGGCACCGGTGTACAGGGCGCGGCGAACAACAATGCCTGCAGGCAGTAAAGACTGCGTTCGGTAGTGGCGAAACGCACGAGCGCAGAGAACGCGGGAGTCAGCAAAGAGAAACTTTATTCTTCCTCCTGGGTTTATTTTTGTGTTCACCGACACGAGCCGCAACTCAGGGAGGCGAGAAGGAACAATATAGAAAACGACACAACGCAAAGTCAAAGAAAGGTACACGTAAATACATATATATATATATATAAGCGGAATGGAAAGCAATGCCTAAATGGGTGCAAAAAGAAGGGCAAGCAAAGACACAGGTGTGTGGTCAAGCAATGTCCACCATTTCCAGTCGCCCATACGTGCCAACAGCCCTATTTTGCCCCAAAGACGCGCACAGAGAAAGCAAAATCCAGAGAGGGAAATATAATGAAAAAAAAGTGATGCAGTGCGCGCCGGTATGCATGCGTGTGTGCGTGTGGAAGTGGGAGTGCGTGTCTTCGGGGCCAAGGAGGGGTTAAAGGGCCCGCGCGTGCGCGGAGGGCCCGTGCCCCCGCAGCTCCTGCTCCATCCCGCTCACTCCACACACAAGGCACGCAGAGCCCCTCCCCTTCGCCGCATTCGCGCATTTACTGCAGGGCCTCGCAAGCAGCGGGGACCACAACAAACCCCGCAGGACGGCGTCTCCCTCCGGCGTCCGCCGCCGCAGCGAGGCGAGCCTTGGCACCCACCGACGCGCCCCCAAAGCCGCCGCCCCCCGCCCACTGCAGACGCACAAACGAAGCAAACGCATCACACCAAAGGCCGCGGGCCCTGGCCGCAAAGCAACACGAATGGATTAAAAAAAAAAAGTAAAAAGAAGAAAAAATGAAAAACAAAAAACAAATGAAAAGAAAAAAAAGGAAACGAAAGCCCATATATACATATAATTAGAAGAATAACACGATTACACATACGTGCGTGCACGTAGAACCCCGCACGGAGAGGGAATGAAGCAACAAACACGGAAAAAAAAAAGAAGTAAAAAAAAAATACGCACAAAATGAGGAGACCTCCCCCCATTGCGGCAGAGCGCCGCACACTTGCACACAAAAACGCACCCGCAGCAAAATGGAGAAACAACAAAACTGAAAAGAGAAAACACACACAAAAAAAACAGAATACCCCATGCGACAATGTCCAGCAAAACACCTCCACCCATTACGCGACTTTTCCCCCTTCCTTAATTCTCCACTTAAGCGCTACGCCCACACATTCCTCTCAAACACTTAACTCCACCTCCCGTTCACGCAACGCCTTTTAATAAACCAAACAAAAGCAAAGAACACACTTCAACATCTCCACAGCCGCAAGAAAAGCAACACAAGACGAAAAAATAATAATTATTGTTATAGCTTACCCAAAAAATCACAAACACATATTTAAAATAGAAACAGCATCTCACTCATTGTCCGGGCTGCCGTCGACGTCCAGCTTATGGGCCGAAGCCCACGCAGCAAACTCGTCGAAGGTCACGGACCCGGAGCCGTTTTTGTCGAGCTCCTTGAAGACCTTCGCGGGGTCTTCGATCTTCGCACCCCACTTCTCGAGCTTGGGCACGGCCTTCTCGAACTCCTTCTCGTCAATCAGCATGTTGCCGGAAGTGTCGATCTCGTCAAACATCACCGTCAGCTCGAAGTAGTCGTAGAGGTAGCACAGCATCAGGCGGAACTCAAGGAATTCAACGAAGTCCTCGGAACCCTTGTTCTCCAGCTTGCTGCCCAGGTCCTTCGCCTTGTTGAACGCACGCTTCGTGATGTCGCGCACTCGCGAGGTGAACTCGTCCAACTTCAGCACCTCAATGCAGCCGTTGTACACCTCATCGTAGGACAGCTTGCCGGTGTCGTTCTTGTCGAACTTCTTGAAGAGGTCAA